CTAATGAAGATAGTGTCCTTATGGCATGTCTCTAGTTTGTTCTAATGAAGATAGTGTCCTTATGGCATGTCTCTAGTTTGTTCTAGTGAAGATAGTGTCCTTATGGCATTTCTCTAGTTTGTGCTAATGAAGATAGTGTCCTTATGGCATTTCTCTAGTTTGTGCTAATGATGATAGTGTTTTTATGGCATGTCTCTAGTTTGTGCCAATGAAGATAGTGTCCTTATGGCATGTCTCTAGCTTGTGCTAATGATGATAGTGTGCTTATGGCATGTCTCTAGTTTGTTCTAATGAAGATAGTGTCCTTATGGCATTTCTCTAGTTTGTGCTAATGATGATAGTGTGCTTATGGCATGTCCCTAGTTTGTGCTAATGAAGATAGTGTCAAAATGGCATGTCTCTAGCTTGTGCTAATGAAGATAGTGTCCTTATGGCATGTCTCTAGTTTGTGCTAATGAAGATAGTGTCAAAATGGCATGTCTCTAGCTTGTGCTAATGAAGATAGTGTCCTTATGGCATGTCTCTAGTTTGTGCTAATGATGATAGTGTGCTTATGGCATGTCTCTAGTTTGTTCTAATGAAGATAGTGTCCTTATGGCATGTCTCTAGCTTGTGCTAATGAAGATAGTGTCCTTATAGCATGTCTCTAGTTTGTGCTAATGAAGATAGTGTCAAAATGGCATGTCTCTAGCTTGTGCTAATGAAGATAGTGTCCTTATGGCATGTCTCTAGTTTGTTCTAATGAAGATAGTGTCCTTATGGCATGTCTCTAGTTTGTTCTAGTGAAGATAGTGTCCTTATGGCATTTCTCTAGTTTGTGCTAATGAAGATAGTGTCCTTATGGCATTTCTCTAGTTTGTGCTAATGATGATAGTGTTTTTATGGCATGTCTCTAGTTTGTGCTAATGAAGATAGTGTCAAAATGGCATGTCTCTAGCTTGTGCTAATGAAGATAGTGTCCTTATGGCATGTCTCTAGTTTGTGCTAATGATGATAGTGTCAAAATGGCATGTCTCTAGTTTGTTCTAATGAAGATAGTGTCCTTATGGCATTTCTCTAGTTTGTGCTAATGATGATAGTGTGCTTATGGCATGTCTCTAGTTTGTGCTAATGAAGATAGTGTCAAAATGGCATGTCTCTAGCTTGTGCTAATGAAGATAGTGTCCTTATGGCATGTCTCTAGTTTGTGCTAATGAAGATAGTGTCAAAATGGCATGTCTCTAGCTTGTGCTAATGAAGATAGTGTCCTTATGGCATGTCTCCAGTTTGTGCTAATGAAGATAGTGTCCTTATGGCATTTCTCTAGTTTGTGCTAATGATGATAGTGTGCTTATGGCATGTCTCTAGTTTGTGCTAATGAAGATAGTGTCAAAATGGCATGTCTCTAGCTTGTGCTAATGAAGATAGTGTCCTTATGGCATGTCTCTAGTTTGTGCTAATGAAGATAGTGTCCTTATGGCATGTCTCTAGTTTGTGCTAATGAAGATAGTGTCCTTATGGCATTTCTCTAGTTTGTGCTAATGCAGATAGTGTCCTTATGGCATGTCTCTAGTTTGTGCTAATAAAGATAGTGTCAAAATGGCATGTCTCTAGCTTGTGCTAATGAAGATAGTGTCCTTATGGCATGTCTCTAGTTTGTGCTAATGATGATAGTGTGCTTATGGCATGTCTCTAGTTTGTGCTAATGATGATAGTGTCCTTATGGGATGTCTCTAGTTTCTGCTAATGAAGATAGTGTCCTTATGGCATGTTTATAAAAATTTTTGTCTTGATGAAGAGTATCCTATGGCATGTTATTTATTCATTTGTTTAATTTTGACTGCATGGTGCAAAGTAATTAGAATTCACAGTATTTTTATGTTTGTGTCCCTAATTAAGAGTGAACTACTGTTGTATCTCTGTTGTCATGTTGCTATCCCTTAAAAGTACAAATAAACCACTGAATTATTTTCCATATAGTAAGATAAGGTACAGCCATAAATCAAGTACAAAAAGACATTTTAAATTTTTTCATACTCTTGCTCTCTCTCTCATCTTTGCAAGATAGATTACGTATTATTTCAAGTAAGATATCTTTATAAAATATAAATTAAAATGGACCTTTCATATATTCTTTCCTCTTTTTTGGCCAGTCCATTTAGGAATGTTTATAGTTTTTATTCGTTCATCTTGACATAATGCCAAGGGAGCTTATGAGTTCATTTAACATTTACTTGATGCCACTCTTATGTCCATATTTCTGACATGATTTCAATAAGACATGTATGTCTACAAAATCTTTGATAATGAGCAATCTAAGAGTCATGAATATTAATGAGGCGATCTTGAATATGATTGGCTGAGACTGTTACCATCCTGTAGGCCATATTGCTGATATGAATTTGATAAAACTTGTAATGTATATCAGTAAGATCTCAGACAAGTTCATTGATAAGCAAGATCCATTAGTAATAAAGAGGGAATCTTGACTGATGAGTCACCATCTATTTGATATTATTTTGATCAAACTTGAAATATTAATGAGACAGTCTTGCATATAACTGATTTAGCTTGATACCACTTTGAAGGTCAAATAACTGATTTAGCTTGATACCACTTTGAAGGTCATATTTCTGATTTGACTGTGATCAAAGTTGGAATAAATGCTTGAATCATCAAGATTATGTACACATTCAGATGCACTTGTATTAATGCATTGATTGTGAATCTGATTGGCTGAGCTTTTTATTGCTCTGGAAACTATATTTTTGATCCGATTCTTATCACAGTTGACATGTTGTCCTACAGCATCAAGATGTTTGACAGGTTGATAATGACAGATTTCTGTTGTAATCGGAGCTTGTCACTACCCACATGGCCAGGTTGTTTATATCATCACCATCTTGGATAGGATCAATAATGAGTGTTTGATGGTCATATTTTGGATCTTTTCTTGATCAGGCATTTAACATATGCCTATATCACCAATATCTTGTACCAATGTGGTACTGAGCTACAAAAATATTAATTGGTTGATTTGGCATCTGATTGATAGAGCTTGTTACCATTTGGCATCTGATTGGCTGAGCTTGTTACCATTTCTAGAAGTTGATTTCAATGAAACTTGAAATATTGGTTTACATCAGCCTAATTTTGGACATAATGAGCATGATGAAATTGATTGGCTGAGCTTTCTGTAAACTTATTTTTGAGCTGATTTTGATCAAACTTGAAATGTACACTTCTCTCATCAGTGTCTAGGACTACTTTAATAATGAACAATACATGCATTTAATCAGCTAGGCTTCTCACCACACTTGATGCCATATTTTGATCTGTTGGGTTAATCATCAGTATCTTAAATGACTTTGATAATGAGCAAAAAATTGTGCTTAGTAATTATGCCTTCATCTTTAGAAATGATTTATATCAGGATGTAGTAAAATAGGCAAACTCAGCATGAGATAAAGTTCACACATAGCATGTGTCCTTACACCACTACATCAGCTGCTTAGTGAAACAGTCAACTATTAAGTTACGAAAGCAAAATGAGTGATCAGGCTGACTTGGGTCTCTTGTTCAGTCTTCTTTTTGTATTGGAATTATTGTACTCTCCTAGTTAATTACATGAATATCTACATACATTTATTTGTGGAATATTAATTACAATGTAAGAAAATATTCAAGATGTTAGTGAGAAACATTTTTGCTCATCATTTTAGTCTAATGCTATATGTATTTTGAATGCTCTCACTCTTCGAATCATACAATTCCCAAAAATTAGCCCTTTAAAATGTTGGATGAACACACTGACAGTGTACCAATTGTTTTACTGTGGTGAGAAAGATTGACAAAATGAGGAATTAGTAATGTTTCTTCAGTTCATATCATTATTGAGTCATTCTTTTATATAATCCAATTTTTTTTTCATGTAGGTTTAGACAATGCATCACATTTTTTGGTAGCATGTCCATTGTATAATTTAGCCAGAACAACAGTTTCCAATCTTTCAAAAGTTTCTTCCTATATCAGCTTATACTTTATTAAATGCAAAAGTTACAATGGAATAGTGGATAAAACTTAGAAATCACTTTTCTTTAATTTTGCCCTGAAGGTTGTCATAACAAATTATTACATACCATTTATAGGCCCTCATTTAGACAGCTTTCATTTTATCCCAACATTGCTTCTTAATTTTTTCTTACCCTAATATTTGCAGAAGGGTTTAGTATCAATGATATCATCACTTGTAAAAGAAACTCAAAAATGTGCAAGATTCTATTGTTAAGGAAAGACAACTATGATGCTGCAGATTCATCAAAACCAGCAGAGTGCCAAAAGTATTACAAAATAAAGTAGAGTAGTGGACACAATGGAGCATATTACACCATCAACACATACAATGCAACATAAAGTATATTATAAGAAAGAAACACCATAACAGCAGTGTGTCATATTCATTAGAAGTTACATCCTAAAAAACTTCAAACAAATTAAGGATATTGGGTCACAATTATTAGTGATCTCAGATGGAAGGCTTAAATTCAAGAATTACTTACCAAAGCAAATATTAATTTAAGCCTATTAAGACATAACTTAACAACTTGCCCACAAACTGAAAAATAACTAGCATTCAAGAATTTAGTTTGACTGGTTTTAGAATAAGATGAGATTTATTAAAAATCCAAAAGCAAGTAACCAGGATTATAATATCCAAATATGACTATCATGTAGGAATTTAGTATTTAATATGTTGTGTGTGTGTGTGTGTGTGTGTGTGTGTGTGTGTGTGTGTGTGTGTGTGTGTGATTTAGATTTGTATCAAAGCTTTAACAATTTTTCAGCCATATCGCTATGATGTCTGCAGTATGGCAGTTTATAGTGATATCTAGCAGTGGGCAGCATGCTGCTGACATGTGTCATGATGTCCCACCCAGTCACATTATCCTGATACCAGGCCAACCAGTCTTAACACTCACTTTTAATGCAGCTTTTAGTACCATTTTTGTAACCGTTTGGTATGACTCAGCCGGGGTGTGAACCCACGACCTCCCACATCCGAGGCAGATGCTCTAACCACTAGACCACTTGAGCAGTCACTTGAATAAGTTGTCATGAAAGCCATTAAACAGACAGAAAAATTGATTTTTCTGAAAAAGTGTTAAAACTAAGCACAAATATTTGCTACAATTTAATGAAACCAAAACAACAAGGAGAAGTCAACAAGAATATTTTTATTTATGCCATATGCATGAACTATTAATGACAAAGTAAGCTTTACCCTCAAAATAATCTAAGATTGGAAATCTTTAACACATATATTTTTTTTTATATAAAATAAATTCTTGTTGCAAAGTTTAACTCTACCTCTCATCCAAGCATTTCTGAAGGATGAGGGGAATTATTGGAGTAAAGCCGGAGGCTGAGCATGCATACATAGAATGTTACTCTATCATTGACAGAAACAGGCACTCTTCAAAGAAAGGAAACTTTTTTATCAGTTACATGACATGTCACCTGAAGTATCCTTAATCCACCTACACAAGGTATCTCATAGTTTAAAGTGAACTGTTTTATTGTTTATATAAGACAGGAAGGGAAAATCCCATTTTAGTAAAACTTCAACTTGCATCAAAGAATGGGTGGGTGTATACATAATCAGCCTCCAGCTGTCTCCAATAATGTCCCTCATCCTTCACAAATGTTTGGATGAAGGGTTCATTATTTTCTGTAAAGCCTTCAGCCTCACATGCATACATAGCATCTTGAAAGATTGACACCAAGACTAAAAAACATTAACGTGAAAATCATAATCAACCAAAAATATTATTATACGCCATCAATAATTGCCTCAGCAAACCCCTTACTATTAGTCTGAATTTCCATTAGATAAAATTTCTAAAAAGTCTTTACTGATGTCCAGTCTGCTGTTTTCAATATATTGTGCATGGAACAGCCTTGTCTGAAAGCAGCTGATGCTGCAGCATTTCTGTAAGAATGAGCTTTGAATTTGGATGCATCAATTCTTGATTGTTCTAAAACCACTAGTACTAAATGTCAAAGCTCTGTATGAACAATAAGATACCAGAACTTGAGTAGATTTCCGAAGATTTTTTAGTCCAGTCAAGATAATGCAATAAAGTATGCATGGCATAAAGCTGTTCATCCTTATAATGTAGTAGTTCCATCTGGAAATTCTTACCTTGTCTTAAAGTTTTCAACAAATCTGAAAAACTAAATACAATTTTATCTGCCATACAAGTCATGTTATGTAAATTCAAAGATTTTAGAGTTTGTGCTCTTGGAGCTGTAGATAAAGCAATAAGAGCAACCAGCTTCATTGATAATAACCTTTTGATACAGTTTGCAAAGGAAAAGGGGTACACAGGTATTTCAAGACTAGGTTTACATCCCAAGATTCTTGGTTTTGGTGGACAGACCCTTCAAGCAGCTATTAATCAACAAGGCACCATGAATTTTCAAACATTCTCAAGTAGTACCATTGCCTACTGATGACACTATATGACTTGACCATCAGGTGCCAAAGAAAAGAATCTAAGTATGAAACAGTGTTACTTCAGAGACACAAAAATGTCCCTTGTCTTGCACCAAAATTTCCATTTTTTCCATGCCAAATTATACTGTTTAGTTATTCCTGATCTCAATGAATTCTTAATGATGTCCACAGCAGTTCTTTAAAAGCCTTGGATTTGGAGCAATCACCTGAGCAGGGTTTTTCATTCCAAAAATCGTTTTACTTAGATAAGTGTTATGGTCCATGAAATGTCTTAATGTCCTAAAACAAGGAATTTGATTATGACAAACTACCTTATGACCAGAATGAATAAGTTTGTTCCTTTAATTTCAGTATTTCACTGGACATGGTCATCATCAGTCTGTAGCAGTTCTTCATTGGAATACATATGAACAACCAGGAGTCCCAATAAAGTCAGGGTGATACATTTGAAACTTTTCTTTCTTTACTAATCTGAAGGAAAGAACAATAGAATATATCTGACCACATGTATAATGTCTTTATGAATAATTTTTGTATAGTTGTAGCTTTTCATGTGTTCTGATTTACTTATTTAATGTATACAAGTGCTCATAGATATATAGCTTTATACACATTCCAGTCTTTTTTATATAAATTCCTGTCTTTCATCATTTCTGACTATTTATTTTTAAGATCTCTGTGCAGACAATATTTGAGAATCACTGTTTGATCTGTTTCATCAATAACATTGTTTCAGATTACAAAAAGTCACTGAAAAAAGTAATTGCACATGTATGCAATTAAAATAATTAACTTAAATTGTTTAATTTAGATTAATTCTTGGAAAATGTTTACCCCATTATGTTTAAATGTGTACTTGACACAATTAATAATCTGTTTGTACTTATGTCAGTGAGAAATAATATTGCTGTTTAAATTTTGTGTATAACCATATCAATATCATTCTTAATTTTTCAGGCTTTTTATGCATATCCTGAATATTGACACCTTTAAATTATGTTTGGTTTCTGTCCATTTAGTTTGTGACAATGATGGTCAAAATTTTGGTTTGAAAAACTTCTCAGTGGAGAAAAATCAAAAGCACAGACTATTTTGTCAACTATTGAACACAGTTTATTGCATATACATTGCATAAGTTATATAATTGTATAGAGATCATATATATATATATATATATAATTTGCTTATGACTCCTTTGTTCAAATGTATGGGGTGAAAGTGCTTGATAAACCTTGGAATAATTTGTTTCCTTGTAAAAAAAAAACTATTTACATGGTTGTATTAGGCACATACTGTTATTTTGAGTCACAATATTGCCTGGTTACATTGTTGTTATTCAGTGTACAGTCAAACCTAATGTTGTTATTATTAAGTGTACAGTCAAACCTAATGTTGTTGTTATTCAATGTACAGTCAAACCTGATGTTGTTGTTATTCAATGTACAGTCAAAACTTATGTCTTTGCTGTTCCATATACAGTCAAACCTGATGTTATTCCTATTAAATGTACAGTCAAACCTAATGTTGTTATTCAATGTACAGTCAAACCTGATGTTGTTATTCCATATAAAGTCAAACCTTATGCCTTTGCTATGCCATATACAGTCAAAACATGATTTTATTGCTATTCAATGTAGTCAAACCTGATGTTATTGCTATTCAATGTACAGTCAAACCTGATGCCATTGCTATTCAATGTACAGTCAAACCTGATGTACTGAACACTTTCATGTTTATTATATATTTCTATTTCCTTCCTTCTCATTATGTTATACATATTTTAGGCCAATTTACTGCAAATATTTGACATTCATTTGTTTAATTATATTTCTTTTTAGATAGTTTTGCTTTTAATGGGCTTTTTGTTTATGCCTGTTTCATGTATGCAGAAAGATCATTTTTAAATTTTCATGTTTGAGAATCCCTCATGAATCTTTTTTTGTTTACAAAACATACTGATTTCAACACACATATGTAATTACAGAGATGAACTGTGATCCAAGTTATCAATATGTGCATTATATTGTATTTTTGTGTTGAACTTTCTCACAGTTGTAACAGATTTTCAAATCTTACTTTACCTTCAGTGCCTTTCATCACACTTTAAAACATATATGTGGAAAACAAGTCTATATAACAACTTTCTGCATATAAAGAAAGCTTGACTAGTTTTAAAATAGAATATTTTTAACTAAAAGCCATTCATATTGTACATATACCTTGATATAGTACAGTATCCATTCATATGGTACATATACCTTGATATAGTACATTATCTATTCATATTGTACATATACCTTGCTATAGTACCTTATTCATTCATATTGTACATATACCTTGCTATAGTACCTTATTCATTCATATTGTACATATACCTTGATATAGTACCTTATTCATTCATATTGTACATATACCTTGCTATAGTACCTTATTCATTCATATTGTACATATACCTTGATATAGTACCTTATTCATTCATATTTTACATATACCTTGATATAGTACCTTATTCATTCATATTGTTCATATACCTTGATATAGTTCATTATCTAACTGCAATATATTCATCTAAGGAGGTGTGGCATTTCAGTGATGCAGTTTAAATGTCATATTAACAATTATTTGTGAGCATGTAATTTTCACAGATGTAATGAAATCACAGAATTGTTTTTCATGGACATGATGGGAACATAAAAGTCAATTATAAATTCAAAAACCAAGTCACTTTACTTAAATGCTGTAAACCTTTAGCAATTGAAATATATTATTACTTACAGGAGCAATGGTTAGTTCAATAAAGGCAGTGATTCACTCATGGAACTTTCTCATATTCAAAGTATTAGATAAATAATGGAATAAAATACAAATACCTTTACATGTGACAGTGAATTCCTCTCATTTCTGTCGGTTTCTACTATATTAATTTTTGATTGTGATCAAAATATTTGCTTTTAAAAACTGTTACAGTAGGTGAGGAATGGGTCTAGTTAGTGTTAACCCTCTCCAGAATACACCAATTTTAATTGTAAATGCATTACAACTTGAATTAGTATGAGACATTTTTAAAAATTGTATAGGTTACAAAAATGTTCACAGAAACAACAAAATAAATTGGAACAGTCAGCTTCTTTGTAAATGTAATACTTTTTTTCTCATTCTGTACATACCATCTCATTTCAGGTCAAAAGTATATATATATATATATATATATATATATATATATATATATATATATATATATATATATTGCTCAGTGAAAACCTGCTGTAGTAACCACTTGTACATAGAGACCACCTGGCACTATCTATAATGACTACCTGTTATAGGTAACTTTTACCCATGGCTACTACATGGATAAATGTACATTAGTACACACTGCTCATAAATATCAAGTTTGACTAAGTACTTAAATACTTTGGCTCTTCCTCCCAATAAAAAGCAATATTAAGAACAATATTGAAATTTTGTAGAAACAAGGTCTTCATAAATCTCCTTGGCATGCATATATTTCAGCAGAAGTTATTTGAACTGCACTTTTTGAGCTGAAAAATGCAGTTCAAGTTGTCAGTATGTATATTCTA